ATTGGGTCAGAATTCATGAAGGAATCAACAGGATGCTATGATAGTGTGTGTGTGGCTCAGTGCCTATCCATAGCTTCCAATACAACCTGTTAGGATTGCATGCAACTCCACTGCTAGCCCCCTTCACTCCTGGCAAATTTCTGGATTGAATTCAACCCCCCAGTCCTATTTGGGACCAATGATTTCATCAGCCCTGGAATGCATGGACATCATCTTACAGATATGGACATTTGAACCCCTTCCCCCCTCTCTCCAGCACAGTTCAGTCTTTTCAGGCAGCTCATTACATCACTGGGTTCGCAGTGAGCGGCATAAGTACAGGGAAGATAATAAGGTTCTTATTTTAAAAAAACAGACTGTACTAGCAAAAATGTGCACCATCCCAAGGCAGTAAAGACAATGCTAGAGCTCATCACTCACAAAGGAGAAGGAGATGCAGGTCCTAAACTGCCAGCAGTCCTGGGACTCAGGGCATAGTCTTTGTCCATGGGGAAAGGCTCCCTGAGGAGAGGAGAACCAAGCTACACTAACTAGACTAAAACAGTAACACTACAAAGAAGAATAAACTATTTACAACGTATTTACAGGTTCTGATGCAGAATAAACAGAGGTAGCTTTGAACACAGAGGATTCTGATTCAGGCCATGCAGTGGTAAGAAGGAACTGAAGAGACGTTGGTCTGCACTGCCCCTTATACTCTCGGTTGGGAACACAAACAAATATGCAGGTATGAATCAACAGACACTAACCTACTAGAACTATCTGATCTCAGGAGCATGCTGCACAGGTGTATCCATGTGTGGAATACACGTAGGGAGCAGCACTTAAAAAAATACACATTTTGTGAAACAGTATTTTCTCTTACTGGTTTTGAATTTCTCACTTATTAATTTAATAGAATTTTCCTTTGTTCTTGCATTATGAAACAAGAACAATTTCCTGATCTACTTTCTCTCCACCATTCATTATTTTATAAGCCTTTATCAGGTTGCTGCATATTTGTCTCCTTTCTAAGGTAAACAATCCCGTATTTTATCACTCTTTCTATGCCCTTGATAGTTCTTGTTACTCTTCTCTGAACCTCCTCTAGTTCTGCAATATACTGTTTGAGATGGGGTGACCAGTACTGTGGACAGGATTACAAACGAGGCTGTATGATTGATTTATATAAAGGCATTATAATATTCTCTGTATTATTCACATCCTATTCCTTATGTATTCTAGCAACTTGTTAGCTTTTTGGCTGCAGCTGTATATGAAGGTTTTCATTGAACTAACTATATTGACACCCAGGTCCCTTTCTAGGGTTGATAGTTAATTTAGAATCCCACCAACTACTTGTACACCTTACATTTTCCCTACTACGTGCATTACTTTGCATTTGCTGACAGTGAATTTCAAGTTGCCAGTATGCTGCCCATTTGCCTGGCTTGTTTAGGTCTCTGCTGTTCCTTACAGTTCTCTCTCATCCTGACTAATGTAAATAATTTTATGGCATCTGAAAATTTTGCTACCTCACTAGTTATCCCTCTTTCGAGATCATTAATACATTAAACATGGGGACCTAGTTGGGAACCTTGAGGTGGCTGCCAGTAACTTTTGCAATGAAAAAAATTCATCATTTAATCTCATTTTTGCTTTCTGTCTCTTAGACAGGTTTTGATCTATGACAATACTTTGCCTCTCACCTAATAACTACTTAGCTTCATTATTAGCCTCTCGTCCAGGACTTTGTGTAAGACCCTGTGGAAAGTCTATATCATGGCTATTGGTTCTACTTTATTGACACATTCCAAGAATTCTAAGAAATTAGTGAGATTTCTCTTGGCAGGAATCATGCTGGTTATTATATCATGATCTACCAGATTTTTTTAATTATTTCATCCAATTTTCCAGATACAGATATAAGGCCTCCTGGTCTAGTTATCTGGATCACCCTTGGAGCCTTTTTTATAAGTAAAACATTTGCTAATCTACAATCCTCTGGAACAGTGGCAGTTTTTCTGAGAGATTGAGTGGAATAATACAGTATTTTCCCACAGACTCCAGTCTATAAAACAATCTGGTGAAAAAGCCTTTTACCCTGGCTAGATTGGGGATTTTAAAAAGGATGAATGGATCAGTATTTAAACACTTTTAAAAGTTTCCAATAACTGATTTAAACACAATTTCCCCAAATCTGCAAAAACAAGTCTAGGCAAAGCATTGAGGTAGGGGGGTTAGACTACAGATAAAAGAATATTTCTTGTGTGTTTTGTTTTGGTAATCTTGTGTTTGTTTTTATTTTTTAAATGTACACATTGCTGTGTGTTTGTTAGCAAAAGTAAGATTGAAGGAATGTGCCTTGCACCCGGAGCAGGAGGTGGTGAGGTTTGTGGCATCTGAAAATTGTGGCAACTGGGTCTCAGTTTCTGTGGGAACAGTTAGTTCCAGTCTTGGATTGACTCCCAAGAAAGGTGTTATTTCCCATACAGATGCATTTTACCCATATGACAAAAAGTTCCATTGTACCAAAAGAGCTTAATTGTAAGCCACAGTCTCCCTCCCAAAGCATTATTATTATTATTATTATTTTCTGAGGGTATGTCTTCACTAGCTGCCGGGTAGCGATCGATCCAGCAGGGATTGATTTATCACGTCTAGTCTAGTAGAAAAAGAGCTCTAGCTGTACAATACTCAGAGCTTGTAGAAAAGGGCTGCTACTAACATCTGATGTTTATACGCTGAGCTCTGGAATCAGATCAAAAGGCTTAAATGAGATTGGTGTTACAATGGGCACTAAAGTTTATACATTTATATTAATATGCCGACAAAAAAAATGGGCTCAACGAGTTCTGGAGTCCCATCATGTTTCAAAATCAGTCTTGCAGCAGTTCTCAAACTGTGCCACCACAGGAGAGCTCCACAGAGCTGCTTCTATCACAACTGCAACATGCCCATTATGTTCAAGCAGATAAGACTTTAAAATACACTGCTCTCATCATGCATTTTCAAAAACATTTACATGACCAACTTCATATAAATAAATCAAATACTTCTATCTCCTATATGTCCTTGCGGCACAAATTTACCTATGATCATATTTCTGCCAATACTAAAATCAGAGAAAGCAAACGCACACAAAGACAGAATCCACTTGCAAAGTGACCTGGAGACAATAGAGTACAGGGGGCTGTAGGCAGTAAAGGGAGATTTGGTATTAGTATGCGTAGAGTCCCTTTGCCAAAGGAAAGCAAGCACAAGCCAGAGTGAAAAATAGGAAGATGTAACCAAGTAGCTGCAGCCATTACACTGAGGAGAGTTTATTTTCATTTTGTTTTCATACTATATTCTCCTAATGTTACTTTTCATGGAACACCACTGTTGCTTTATGGAAGGAGCGGGATCAAGACTGGGAGGAGAGATGGTCCACAAGAGCAACTAAGATTGGTGGAGTGGTAAATAATGAGGACAGGGCAGCCATACAGAGTGATCTGGATTGCTTGGTTAGCTGAGCCCATTCAAACAAAACATGTTTTAATAAGCCAAATGCAACGTCTAGGAACAAAGAATGCTGGCTATAGCTACAGAATGGGGGGACTGTGTCCTGAAAAGCAGTGACTGAGAAGGATTTAGAAGGTCATAGTGGACAAAACTCAACATGAGCTCCCACTACGAGGGTCTGGCAAGAAGAGCTTGCAAGATCCTTGGGTGTATAAACAGGCATAATGAGGAAGAACAGAGAGATGATTTTACCTCTCTCTAGACAGCCTTAGTAAGATCCAATACTAGATTACTGTGAACAGTTCTGGTGTCCACATTTTAAAAAAGGATGTTGAAAATTCAGAGAGGATGCAAACGGGAGTAACAAAAATGATTTGAGAGCTAGAGACAATGTCCTGCAGGGAGAGTGTAATGGGTGGCACCCACCTCTTACGAGCGCCCCCTGGCCGAGTGCATGTGCCTGCACACTCTTAGTCTGCGGTGACCTGTGTTGGTGGTTTCTCAGGCGGGTTTTCAACCACTCAGCCCTCCAGCCAAGTCTCTCACACAGTGTGCATGTGAAACAAACCAGACCCCTTCCAGGGCATACAGTCCAACAGCGGCCTATCTCAGTACCCCTCTGTTGATATCTCTAGTCTTTAAATAGTCCTGGCCTTGGTAGGGGGCTATACCCCCAGAGCTTCCTCCTTGGAGTCACGGTCTTCGCCTATTCTAGGCCATTTTGGTCCCACCTCTCCAGCTGGGCCACTAGACCATCCAATCCCCTTCTGGGGGTGTTTCACAGTTCAATATTCAGCCCCTTCTCAATTCCCTTCCTCACTCCCATAGTGGCTGGCTCCAGCTCCTTTTAGATATGCCCTTGGTGGGCCCTGATTGGCTGCTTGCCTGCAGTCTCTCTCCAATTGGCTGCGACCCCCAAAGCCTCTCTAGGCAGGCTAGAAGACATCTCTACAGTTTCTTTCTGGGACAGGGTGTGGTAAGACCCTGAGACCTCCAGCCGAGGGCCTCTGGGCCTAATACACCCTGTCACAGAGACACTGAAGGAGCTCAATCAAAAAGTAGACAAAAGTGACTTGACAAAATACCTGGTACCAGAGGGCTCTTTAATCTTGTTCCCCCTCCCCCCAAGGCATATAAAGAACCAAGTGTTGGAAGTTAAAGATAAAATTAAATTAGAAACAAAGCATAAAGTTTTAATGGAGGGTGATTAACCATTGGAAAAAACTATCACAGGAAATAGTGGTTTCTCCATCTCTTGATGTCTTCAAATCAAGACTGGATGTTTTTCTTGATTATATGCTTTATTCATACACACATTACTGGGATCAATACAGGGGTCACTGGGTGAAGTTATACTGTCTGTTATATAGAAATCAGGCTAGATGATCTCATTGTCCCAAATTTGAAGATCATTGCTCAGTGCTTCGAATTAAGGAGATTCTGAAAACTGGCTCTATCCAGACAGTTCACAATTTATTAGGACTATCCAAACAGTAAGCAGATTTTTAAAACAAAACAAAACAATGAATACATTTTTTTAAGATCCAAAACATTTAAGGCAGAATTCATACCATTGCCTAGGGCCTTGCATTTGCCCTCTCTACACTGGATTTAATTTCACGCCAGTTGAAAAGTGTAGAATTTAAAGTTACAACTAAGTTATCTTTAAAGCATTTGATAGACATCCAATTTACAGTATGTTCCTGGACATGATTCCAATCCTGCAATATTTAAAGTTAATGGTACTAACTCATGTGGATAAAGACTGCTTGCATAAATGAAGGGTTTACATGATCAGGCCCCATGTTCGTACACTGAACATACTGGTCGCTTCCTAATTTAAGCCTCGATTCATCAAGGTACTAATCACGTGGCTAACTTTACACATGCAACTAGTCTCACTGACTTCAACTTGCAGATATTTAGGCACTTAACTACTTTGCTTAATCATGGCCTTACTTACCAGTACATACCAAAGCCAATGCTCAGGGTTGTGTGTGATTTCATCTGCTATCAGGACAACAGCAATACCCAAAGCTATGGTGATTCCTATTTTGTGTGTTTATGATGTCAGCTATTATAGGGAAAAATGACTTAACCCTTGATCTCAGGTCTTAGCAGTCTAAAACTTTTCAATCCACATTTAAACAGTGAACATTTCATGATGCTAAAAAAATAAACCACTGTTTCTCAAATTAAATAGACAGATAAGGTCCTGTTTTCACAGACAGGACTTTCATATAAATCACATCCAGGGTTACACAATAACCAATCACTGCTGCTTCGTTCACAAGTCAAAACCAAGACTGAGTTTGTAACACTGTCCTCATGGTGTCTTCTCCAAATACTCCAAGCATTTTGTGACCTTCTCATTAGCTCACATACAGTTTAATAGGTTCTAGTTTTCTTATGTCCACCTTTTAGATACAAAAAGGAGTACGCCTGTGCTGTAAAGTCCCACTTTCCAGGTGACAAGTGAAAGGAAAGCAGCTTCTTTAAGAAGTAATTAAAATGGTCCTCTTCTACCACGTTTACTCTTGAGGTGGCTAGCTGAACGCCTGAGATTTTTCCTCTCCTGATGATGTTGCTTCTCAGCTTCCTGCTGTTTCTTCTGCTGCCCTGACTGGAATATTTACAAAACAGACTTGAGTTAGAATTCCAACTGGCCCGCAAAAATGGTTCAACATTAACAAAGTCAGGACAGTTCCTGAGCTACATGTAGTAAAAACTGTACAGTTCTAGACATAAACACGAAAAGGAACAAGATAACTTACATGCAGTATTTACAGTTTACAAAAATCTTCCCTGTTAAACTGTCAAGCACTCAGGTACCACAGAAATTAAGTTTTTTATTTTATCTACATTGCATGAATTTGTATAAAACTAAGGTTCTTATACATGCATCCATCATGTTATTTGAGCATAAAAAGCTATGTTTTCAGCAGAGAATTCTAATGTAAAAATCGACAAACAGTCCTGTGGCACCTTATAGAGTAACAGACGTATTGGAGCACAAGCTTTCGTGGGTGAATACCCACTTCGTCAGACGCATGTGAAACGTAATGTAAAAATGTTACCATTAAGGTTTTGTTATAGCAGTTCGATCAGCATATCTTTAGGTTCTAGCATTGCAGCTTTAAAATGTGGTGTATTTTAGTGGCACACTGTTTAATGTAATGGTTAAAAAAACCTTCAATCTTTTTGTTGTCGAAGTCTTCTGCCTCTCTAGTTGGAACTCAAAATTATTTACATTCCAAACATACATAAGATTTTTACTTTGTGCTTTCTTGATGTCACCGCTACTCCAGAATGGAGACACACCGTTTACAGTTCATTGCAGGCTTCCATGTGTTCTATTCCACCTACTCATGTTCAAGCCAGAAGAGTTAGTTCCTATGTTGGCTAAAGATGGCTATCACATTTAGGCTTTACACAAAAGTATTTTAAAAGACAAATGAGAGAAACTCCAGGACACTAAGGGTTTTGTTTTGTATTTTTAAACTTGTATCATTACACAATAGCTCTGCTACTGATTACATTACTAGGTATGTTTTCTACATAAAAACTGATTAAATTTCTGTACCAACATAGCATGTTTTTGTGCTTTGTTGATGATGTTATTCCTCCTTCTCAACTGCCACTGACTACAAAATACTAACTCAACAAAACCTTAAAAGCACACTGTACGTTTCAGGACAAACGGGAACAAGGCAGGTACGTAGTTACCCAGTGCAAATTAAACTGCCTCTCTACAAATCATATCTGTAACTTCAGGAAAAGCAAAATACTTATTACTTTAGAAGACAAGAAACTACAGTAGAGCTTCATTAGTCAGCACTTTTGTGGAGCCAGCCCAAGAACTGACTGGCAAAATGTGGCCTAGGGAGTAATGGGCAGAGAAGCCAGCATGCACATTCTCCATGAGCCATTGGGGGAGAACTGCATAACCCCATGCCCGAAAGACTCACTCAAGCCAGAACAGGGATGGGTTATACGGTGGTGACAATTTCTCTTCCACCCACATTGGAAGGAGGCAGAGGCACCAGCACAACTTCACCTGTTTTGATTTTAGCAATAAACCGTAATCCTGGAAATTCACTGGAGTGTGAATTCACAGTGTTAAATCAAATGTTTTCCCTTTAGAGCACAAAATATATATCACCACCAATAAGTCACGGAAATACACAAAAGAAGAGGCAGGGGAAAAAATTACATTAATAGGGAAATAAAACCAAAGCAAACCTAATATTTATTCATACAGAATATTTATGCCCTGCTTCTGCAATCTGATTAATATGAGTGGACCCTTATGATCCACCTGAGAGCCGGAATCTGCCCATTGGACTCAGACTGCAAAATCAGGGCCTTTGACTTGAAGCTGTTCAAGGCACGGAAGTATCTTTTCTGTGTGCTGTAAAGTGACTAATTACTTTAGATGCTATAAGCTAATTTATATCTGTCAAACAAATAAAATGGAAAATAAATCAAGAAGCTTGAATTACTTTTATTCAGATCCTGTCAGGAATGCAATGCAATACAGGAGGGACACTATACTAACCATTGTATTAATATTATTGTATTAATCATCAAAACCTGTGTCATGCTCAGATTCATAGATGATAATGTCAGCAGGGACCACCGTATGATCATTTAGTCTGACCTCCTGTATAAACAGGCCAGAGTATTTACCTGAAATAATTCCTGTTTTGAACTGGGTCATACGTTTTAGAAAAAGATCTAATCTTGATTTTAAAATTACCAGTGACGGAGAATCCACCACGACCCTTGGTAAGTGGCTCCAGTAGTTAATGACCATTACTGTTAAAAATGTGCGGCCTATTTCTAGGCTGAATTTGTCTAGATTTAGCTTCTAGTCAGTAGACCTTTGTCTGCTACAGCGAAGAGCCAATTACTGAATATGCAGAAAGAACTAGTTTCTATATTCATTAAATCAATACATACCATTTTGCTTTTTAGCAAATGTATATGAATCTGTTAATTCAGAAGTTTATTCCTTCCAGTTCTGTATCTTTAGTTTCATACATATTTTTAATAGTGTATCAAATTACTTACTACACCACTCAGCATTTTGGTACATTAGCAACATTTTACAGTATTATGCAAAAAAAATTATACAATTTGACTGTGGAAAGGCACACAGAGCATAGGATGAATATTATTAACTGATCAATTTAATCCAAAATTTTGGATTTTTAAAGATTTTCCTTTAAAAAAAAGTTACTAAGGGTATGTCTACACTGCAATTAAAAACCTATGGCTGGCCGTGGCAGCTGATTCGGGCTACGGGGCTCAGGCTAAGGGGGTGTTTAATTGCGTATAGACATTCGGGCTGGGGCTGGAGCCGGGCTCTAGGACCCTGCGAGGTGGGAGAATCCCAGAGCTTGGGCTACACTCTGAGCCCGAACATCTACACTGCAATTTAACAACCCCTTAAGTCTGAGCCCCATGAACCCGAGTCAACTGGTATGGGCCAGCTGCAGGTTTTTAACTGCAGTGTAGACATACCCTAAAAGATTCCCCTTGCTTTGACTGTTCAGCAGTCTTCTATTAAAATAGTCAAAATGGAAAGTCTTTATAACATGTAGCTAGCTCTCCTAAAACAAATTGTAATTGTTTTTAAATAACTTGCAACTACTGTTCTTGAATTTTAAATATTCTTTCCTTGAGAGCATCTCAACAAAACCCTTGTTTATCCATTTCTTGGTTCAAGAACCTGTTTTAAATATCTTAAATCTCCCCACAGTATTTCTTAGTAACACTTACTATACTGCCAAAAGTTATTGCTTTTTAGACGTTTAAATTTATCAGCTGTTTTTACCCTATAAGCGGATGTCAACGAACTTGTTATGTGATAGCATAAAAAGGGGTTTCCTACCACTGTCCAGAATGCATTCTAAAGTACTCTTTAGAAAATAAAGGTGCATTGATTTAAGCATTAGCTTGTTAATCTGGAACTGACTTGAATCGTGTTTTTCTCTTTTGATGACCAAAGACTTTCCTTCCACACAGTCCCTTTTACATCTTTATCCAGCATATTGGAATTGTTACTTTACTGATTAAATCAAATGTCACTTGTTATGAAGGACATTGGAAGGCCAGCCCTGAAGAAAACCCTGTGTAAGTAGATTCGGTAAAAGATATTATCTCAACTACTTTGTGTCTCCCTTCTCTCTGGGGCAACACAGCTACAACAGCACTGCAAACAATTGGAACCGAAAGGCACCGGAGAATATTGTGGACCCCACAGTGAAAACCATGGAAAAAGACAGATCATCTAGGAAATGCCAGGAGATAAACTTTGCAATGTTAACAATGATCAATTCCTGTGGGGGGAAGTTGGGATTTGGAGGGAAGCAGACACCACAGAGCCACTCAGGTACCAAAACCTGTTCAGCCTCCAACTACATTGATCCACAAGAACTAAAAATACTAAACCCTTGGAGGACAGATAAGAAGATAGAAAATATCATAATGACACTCAATAAATCCAGGGTACACCCAGACCTTGAATACTGCATGCAGTTCTGGTTGCCACATCTCAAAAACGATATATTAGAATTGGAAAAGGTACAGAGAAGGGCAACAAAAATTATTAGAGAGTCAGAACAACTTCCATATGAGGAGAGATTAAAAGGATTGGGAGTATTCAGCTTGGAAAAGAGACGACTAAGTGGGGATATGATAGAGATTATAAAATCATGACTGGTGTGGAGAAAGTGAATAAGGAAATGTTATTTACCCCTTCACATAACACAAGAACTAAGGGTCAACCAATAAAATTAACTGGCAGCAGATTGAAAACAAAACACAACAGAAAACAAAAGGAAATACTACTTCACACAATGCACAGTCAACCTATAGAACTCATTGCCAGTGGGTGTTGTGCAGGCTAAAAGTATAACTGGGTTCAAAAAAGAATTAGCTAAGTTCATGGAGGATAGGTCCTTCAATGGCTATTAGTCAAGATAGTCAGGGATGTAACCCCATGCTCTGGGTGTCCTAAGCCTTTAATTGCCAGAACCTGAAAGTGGACAACAGGGGATGATCATTCAATAGTTCCCTGTTCTCTTCATTCTCTCTGAAGCATGTGGCATTGGCCACTGTTGGAAGACAGGCTACTGGGCCAGATGGACCATTGGTCTGACCCAGTATAATCGTTCTTATGAAGGCTATGCATTACTTTTCTGCCCTCTTCCAAAAAGACGACATATCTGCACCTAAACCTTGGAGATGGGGCAATGAAAGGCAGGAGTTAATGATAGTCCTAGCAGCGTTAAACTCCCTCTAGGCTTGCCAACTGCATTCTCTTCATCTTTTGAAAAGATCATATCATATGACATGGCTCCTTTCCAGGCCTACTTTTTTCTGCTCCCATGGACTATAGTGGGATTGGCTCAGGGAAGGAGAGGGGGATTTTCCATCCCATTTTACTTTTCTTCATCTCTCTTCTCCCCACTTCACAGAGAGGAGACTGGGGGCCCACATAAAAGTAAATATGACAAATAGTTCAGTTAAACTATAAATTTTGTACATTTGTATATTCAATAAGGCAACCACACTGAGATGAACTCTTAAATGAGTCACTTACAACAGAAGTGTAACAAAGTAATATAGTGATTCTGCTGGGATCAAATCCAGAATGGTATTTCAAACTATTCTCAAATCTTGCCCTCCCCCAAAAATCTTTATGGAAGCTGATCATCAATTGTAGGATGCATTCTGCTTCAGCATTTTCTAATTTAAAGCTCCTATAAAAAGAGTATGCATGGGAAGCCCTGCAAAGCTCATTTAATTAGCTGTAAGGAGCTACTGTATCAGTTACACCTGCTGGTACGACTCCTGAAATGGTGATCCTTCGCAGAGCTTCACTGGAATCTGTGACTTATTCCAAAGTCCACACATTTTAAATTCCAAAGTGGATACAGAGATCAAACCACAACGTAGATGAGAAAGGCTTATGAAAAATTGGTGATAGGAAGTACAATAAGAAATTCCAGTGACTTTGCTTTACTTAGCCTTTTGTGACCCAATTATCCAAAGTGGCACATTCTAATAACTACTTCAGACATTCTGACAACTCTATTGTAGTTTTACTTCCATGATGAGACTTAATTGACAGGTGTTAAACAGAAATGGATTATGATGAACAACTTGCCTAGAGGAAGACCAGTTTTAACTGAAACAGATTTCACCAGCTGAAGAATCAACTAATATGGATCTTTATCTTTCACCATCTCCAACCATGTTTTAGTGTGTATCACTTTTCCACCCAGAGATCCCAAAGTGGTTTACAAAATATGTAAACACATACACAAAATCCATTTCCTTCCTCCTTGCCTCCTTCCCATTCCCCAAAATGCAATCACCTGAGGGTGAAACAGTTTAGACACTACACAACTATTTCCGGAAAGGAATTACGAAAACACCATCCAGTTGAAATTGCTTGGGAAAGTTAGGTGGGCAGAATGCAGTTACTCACTCAAATTGTAATTTGGCAAGTACATTGGACTACATTAGTGCCATGGAACTTCAGTGACCAAAGTGGTCGGGAGTTATTTTTATCAATATGAGGCACTCCCATCACTAATGACTCAGAGGGAAGACTCTCACCTACAGGACATCATCATCACTTCTTTCAGCATCCTGGGTATTTTTTGCCTATGAATCAACTACTGATCAAACCCAAGACTGTGAGAACTGACAAGGTGCTAGCATTAGATGATATAGCTACAGATGATCTACTAAGAGAGGGAAGTAGGATTTCCCACCAGGATATGAGTCTGGTGGGGCTTCCCACACACACAAGAGTGTGCAAAAAAGTAAAGGTGCAGTCAATGTATGAAGAAATCAAAAGGGACATCCGTTTCAGATGGCTTTAGGGCTCCCTGTTTTTTCAGATGACAAATAAATGTATCAGCCTGTGCATTATCTTATTTACAGAAGATTTTTTTTTTAAACTCACCTTTTTTAATTTGAATGTCATCTGTTTGCTGCCTACTGTGGTATCAGATACACTGAGTGTGCCAAGCTTTTCTTCAAGCTTCAAGCGATCTCCAAGAGTTTTTCTGCAGAGAACAATTAAAGAAAAGCCTGTTTCTGTTCTTGTCACCATCACATTGTATTATCAGTTTTTACAATAGCAAACAGAAGAAATCACACACTCTACAAAACAGTCAAATCCTATAACTTGCAAAAAAATTGCAATTGGGTTGCACTTCTGTCATTCTGCACTCAATTACTGAGCAACATATATGCAGTCAACACAAATGGAAAGCAAGTTTCAGTTATTCCCTTCAGGTATTGCTCATTGTACAGCCATTTTTCAACTTCTGAACTTTTTTTAATTTTTAAATTCAGGCCCTAGTTAAGACATTTGGCTGAGCCTCTGGAGGTTTTTCGCCTTCCTCCGCAGCATGGGGCAGGGATCACTAGCAGGAGGGTCTCTGCCAATTGAAGTCACTAAAACACAGGATTGGGGACTTCAACAGCAGAGTCCAGGGAAGGGGTAGGGATGGTTTTGTGGCCTGCAGCATGCAGGGGGTCAGACCAGATGATCATAGTGGTCCCTTCTGACCTTAAAGTCTATGAGTCTATGAGACATAAACCAGATCCAATTAGTCCATGCCATTCCCACGAAACCAACATGTGCTATGACAGCAGTTTTCTATGGAATATCTGGAGGTGCCAGATAATTCAGTTGCAGTAGATATTCTAGTGTACTGATCTTAAATAAAATTTAAGACAGGCATTTAAAGCAAAATGCACCCATTTTGCTTAGCAACCTTAGTTTCTAAAGCCAAAAATACTTTCTACCATGAAAGACTAACATTTATTTTGATTCCCCCCCCCCCCACTATAATTGGCATTTCTGACTCCCCTATTTGTAGCAGCTACCTGAGCTGATTAAAACAACACTGGCAGTATGGCAGTGATTCTAAAAGTTTCATTCTACTTCAATATCAGGAGAAAATATTCTATACCTATCATAGGTTTAAATTTAAAAATAGAGTCAAACCTCATGATTCTGCACTAATGAATGGAAGACCTTTGTGAATTTTCCTGAATTAGCAAGACAGACCCTGATTCCATAAGGAGCTCTATGTGGACAGACCCCTTCTCCCACTGACACAGAGTCTAAGCTCTTTGGAGTAGGGACTGTGTCTGTTATGTGTTTGCACAGTCCCTAGCACAATGCAGCCTTGATCCATGATTGGGGCCCTATGTAGTACAGTACTGTAATACTAACTGCAAATAGGACAGGGCCTAAATGACCAATCAGTAAAGAAGATTGAATTTTATTATGTAATATGCTTCATTTGACAATTTTAGTTTGCTTTTAAATAGCATTAGTTATAAATGCTCTAACATAACTGTAATGAAGTCTTAGCAATCCAAGATCTCACTATTAGATCTTTGTTGAGATGGGGAGAGAGACTGCCTTTTCTGTGCAAATGATCAGCAAGGTACTGATGTATATATTTCACAGATTACTTTTATGAAGGGAAAAAACAGACAATCATAAACATACATGTGAAAGGCAGTCACAGAAGTCCATAGAAGTTCTGTGGATGAAGTGGCTGAAAGACTGGGCCCTCGGTATGGAGCCAGCGGAGTTTGCAGGATCTTAGTTAAAAAGTAATTTATGTATATGAAAGGCTTTTTCATAAGAACTATACAAAATTACTGTCAATAATTGCTTTTTCCCCCATGACTAGGTATTTTGACTCTGGTTTTCCTCCAATATATTTTTCAGTGAGAACTTGTAAAAACTTGTTCCATCTGTGCTATTTGAGAAGACAAGCTAAGCCTCAGAGCTAACTATGGCAGGAGATCAGTCACTGACAGTGTAGCGGGATTTCTACTTTAAACTGAAGTTCACTTTTCTCCCCTTTGAAAGTGAATGAGAGAAATGTGGCTACTACCCAGCAATTCTTTAGCATGACTGCTTGGATGGTGCTTCAGTCAGAGGAAAATTAATGTGGGGAGATAGTAGGAAAAGGCTATGGGATAATAGCTTTAATCTATAAATGGGGGGAGGGAGGGGGGCAACATATATATCTGTAAAATACAAAAATATTGCTTAAACATCTATGTTGTGACATACAACTATTCCAGCCACAGCAAAGGAGAAGGAAACATACTTTTTATCTCCGCCAAAAAGATGGCCCAACGGGTACATTAAGAGTGCTGTTCAATTATTATTTATTATTTGTATTACCATAGCACGTAGGAGTCCCAGCCAAAGACCAGGATCCCATCATGCTAGGCTTTGTACAAAGACAGAAAAAGATGACAGATCGTAAGCTCTTTGGGGCAGAAACAAAGGGTAAGACAGGAGTCAACAGATGGATACAGACAGACCGGGGGAGCACAAGGAAACAATGAGACAATGGTCAGCATAATAGGCTGATCTCAGCACACCAGCGGCTTAACTGTTGTCGAGTTTTTGCAGGCATCAGAACACAGGAGTTTTAAGGAGGTGCAGCATGTGAGAAAACACAAAAGTGTTTATCTGAAACTTTAATAAGTGGATGATGGAGGCTGTCACTGACGTTGACATCTTGACAGCGAATGAAAGCTAGGGTGGGGATAGATTGGGAAGGGCTTGACAGTGAAGACAAGCAGCTTATATTTGATGCAAAGAGATGGGAAAACATGGTCAAAGCACTGTGGTAGGAAAATGATCTTTGCAGCAGCATTTTCAATGGATATGAGCAGGGTAAGACTGCATTTGTCAAGCCCAGAGAAAAGGATGTTGCAGTAATCAAGACATTATATGATGATAGCCTGGACGAGAGTTTTAGCTATAGGAGATGGATATGAAAGGTTGTAATCTCTCTTAAGATACACAGAAAGTGTCTGCAAGATTTGGATATAGAGAGAGGTCTATGTCCTCACGTACAGGCTGAGTCAAAGATGACACCCACATTGTGGGCCTGAGCAATAGGCAGGATGTTGGTGTTGTCCAGCGTGACCAATAAAGGCAGTAGCAGGGTGGGTTTTGGTTGTTTTGTTTTGACTGGTTTTGGAGGGAAAGGAAAGAGGGAAATGAAGAGCTGTTTTAGCCATGTTGAAATTGAGCTGATGGCTGGACACCTATGAGGAGATGTCAGAAAGACTGGCCAAGATTTTAATTTGGACAGGTGACATGCCTGGAGTAGACAGGTAGATCTGTGAAGTTGTCAGCACAGAAATGGTATTTGAATTTGTGAATAAAGTATCCAGAGATAAGGTGTAGAGGGAGAAGAGAAGGGGACCACAGATAGAGTCCTGTGAAATCCCCACAAAAAGTTAGAGTGGGAATGAGGAGAATCCTCTGAAGAAGCGATGAGCAGTAGGATGCGAACCAGGAGTGTGTGTCATGGAACCAAGGAAGAATTTCAAGAAGAACATGGTCAACAGTGTCAAATATGGCTGACAAGTCAAAGTAGAATGAGGATGGAGTACTGGTTCTGAGCTCAGTCTGCTCATTACATAAATGTCATTAGAGACTACTTTTAAGGACTTTGCTGCATTTAAGCATATGTTTCAGAATGTTCCCATCCTGAGAATCCTTGAATTTATGAAGAAATTTAAGTATACACCAATTCTTCAGAAGTTGGGCTTGGAGCAGCGCTGAGTCAGGAACTTGACAAAGAAACACCCAGTTTTATATAAGTCATAAACTATTTCCCCAGGAACATTATACAACTATAGAAAAAAGAACGCTTTGCCATTAAGTGGGTAGTGGAGGCATTAAAGTACTTAATTATGTTGGTCACAGACCATCATTCTTTAAATTGGCTAAATCAAATCAAAGACAAACATGCCAGAATCACCAGATGGTACATGCCACTACAATCTTTCCAATTTTCAGTACATTGCTCAAGGAGTCAGCATAAAAATGCTGAGCATTTATCATGGTATAGGGCCAGTAGACTTCTCTTTAGGGCTAGTCTTCTTTACAAAATTCTACCATGTTCAAACATGGTTCTAAATAATAAAGCTAGCTGACACTATGATGACTGTGCCTTTATGATAAGCACAGATCAGGGCAAATCATGCTTTGCATCAGATCAGCTACATGGGATTATTAACTGACAGCAGCTGATAATTAAAGGTTTTGGAAGAGTTTGGGGAGTACCCCATGCGCAGTCTGAATGCTTCTTGGCTGAGCGTAAATGGCATCATTCTTCACAGAACTTGTAATTTAAACATTTTTTTCCCCATGGAGAAAAGATTTCACATGGCACGACAACAGCAGCTCACTGAAAAAGGACAAGGATGTGATGCGCACTCTAGTCCACTTCACTTGTTTACTTATCCTATTTCTTCTTAATTTCATCTGCTATCATGTCACTATGTTTTGCCTAAGCCCCTCACGGTAGGATCATGTCTTGTTTTAAGTTTGTAAAACATCATGCCCACTGGTAGTACAATAGGCACTTTTTCCATACGGCAGTCTATTCAGTTTGTCATCACTGGTTCTCTTTTATCCCATGAAGAGATCTACAGTATTTGCCTTCAATTTTCTCCTCTACAACAGAAACAGTGATTACACCCACACGCGCGCGCACTCAGACACACACCCAACCAGCCTTCCACACAGAAGATTCTTTACACTACGTAATTTCCACAGCGTGGGGGCTTCTTTCCTGCTGTGTTGTGCTGTGCTTATTTCTTCTGAACTTTTCAGTCTTATCTAGAGCTGACTTTGGCTTGTTAACTGAATCTTTCAATCTGCTTGCTTACAGTTAAGGTTTCCATCTGTTTGTGATTACTCCTCAGTCATTTCATTTAAGATCAAGGAAGCATTTGAGAGTTTCCTTCAGTGGGATAGAGCACCTTAATCAGACGTCATCGCGTGAACTTACAAAAACAGTAGGTTGGCAATAATGAAACGTGCTTCCATTTCAGCCCCTGTTGCAATGGAAATCAGAGCACGTGCCACCTGTTCACAATTTGTTCTCCTTTTCAGATCATTGGCTGAAGTGGCAAAACGAAGACGCACACGATCCTCTCCCCTCTGACAGAGCACCCAGTGACTTTACACTACAATCTGTATGCCTCTGAAAAACTCAAAAGGGCACAAAAGCAGCCCCATCCCCTGGAATGAAAAGAAGGAAACAGCCAGGAGCAAGTAAACTGAAAACTTCATATGTAAGCTGAAGAAGATTCTAGATAAGGAGTTGAAGCATCCAGAACGCGTACGCTGAATAAAGGTATGAACACAAACCTGCTAGGTGTAAAATTTGCTAACAAAAGTGAGCAGGGAAAATGCAAGCAACACCTGCAGAACAGACAAAGGTTGAAGCACTAATCTCAATTAGGATTTATAATATGGTGCCCAAGATGTGTATGTCACTTTACAGACAGAACATGTAGATTGTTGGTCTCTTCCCAAGGTTCTTTAACCTGGCCTCCAAATGCAGAGATTTTTGAGCACTAGCCTCTTCACACGTGTTGATGATAACATTTACGAGCAAAGAACCCCCCATATGCATATGAACCGCAGAGTTTTTATGACGCTGTGTGTTTGTTTTAGATAGCACTCCATAAGAAAATTGTTTCTTGTATAGTTTTCTATCTTGGGGATTTCTATAGTGCTTATAGTAGAACCCAAAGGCTGATATTACAGAACCAATTTTATACTTTAAAAAAGAAAAACTGGTCCTAAACGTATTGGGTTCAATGTTTCCTTTCAATACACATCACTGTGTTACTTAACCATTTCTAAAATGCCCATCACCATGCAGCTGAGTGACAAAATGGTACCTTGACAAATCTGCCATATCTGAACAGCAGCAAAACAATCATCAGACATTAGGATGGATACATTTGTTCACTATTTGTGTGGGAAACGTTTTGGCATGTATAATCTCCCTCTTGTTATATCATTCATTCTAGTCAGAGCTATGTTGAGCACTTGGCATGCTATGACATATCTCAGCAGCTGCTGTCTTTCAAGGCTTATTAGTTTCAGCACAGATCTCCAATTAATAAAACTGTAAGAAAAGTCTGATTTTTTAAAATGCTGCAGATATGTAAGTGAGGTCAATGAGAATGTCTGGCACTAAACACCTGGAAAGACAGGACACTTTCTGGCATCTCTAAAAGGCAGAAATGCTCTAGATACAGAACCCTACTGCTTTAGGTAACAGCTGAGTTAAAAGATACAAACAAAATTGTATTTAACACCTCTCCTGTCATGGGGCAAGGAAGGAGGGGGGGGAAACGAGGGGGCAGCTTAGTGGGCTACAGATTGCTGGCCTGGGCCCCGCCCCACCCCAAATGTTCCTCCACGTCCCCTAGGGGAGTGCAACCCACAATTTGGGGACTGTTGGGCTAAACAGCCTGTTCCGACTTGTATTTAGCTGTGTCACTCAGTACTTTTCCCAGACCTGAAGAAGAGTTCTGTGTAAGCTCAAAAACTGGTCTCACCAACAGAGATTGTTCCAATAAAAGATACTGCCTCTCCCACCTGGTCTGTCTAATATCCTGGAACCAACAAGGCTACACTGTATACAAACAAAATATGAAACTCAGACAAAATATTTAACTCTGGCTTTTAGCACTGCAAGGAGAAAGCCTGGAGACTAGAACTCTGACAACTAAGATAGATTAGTTTTTATAGAATCCAGACATTTTGGGCCTATCTAGGTCAAAAGATACTTTTACTGTCCACTCCCAGCAAAGAGAGGTTTACTTTGTAAGCACGGAGAAATCATGGGGTATTCTATGTTTTCTAATGGGGAGAGATCACACAAGGTGAAATTGTAAGACCCTTTATTCACACTGGTGAACTGATACTCACATGGAGTAGTCCCACTAACATCAATGGGACTATCTATATGAGAAACTTCTCACCAGTGTGAGGTAAGGGCCCCCCAATCTAGTTCAAAGTATCAAACCCTTACTCTTTTCCTTTAAAGTAAGGCACAGGGACTACACATACCACATTCACATAACAAGGGAATAAGAGTTTAAATGAGTGTCACTTAAAATTATGCCCCCAATTACCATGTCTGGTTGTAGAAACTGCTTCCAGGATCATTGTGCTTACTAAATAAAATAACCTGGGCCCGCATAACAAGAAGACAGTTGCAAACAACCCAACCAAACTTCATTAAACTGAAGTGTTAGTCTTACTTCATTAATTTTTGCTTTTTGACAGAGTCCTTGAAGCTTCTGAATTCCTCCCCTGTTTTAATCTCAAAGAATTGAGGTTTCAGTGTTGTTTGCTGATCCTCCTTGAACCTTTCCTGCCGTTTTACTTTTTCCTCTTGGCGTAGAAGTTTGCGCTGTTTCCTGACCTCTTCAACCCAGCCTTTTTCATCATCTGAAGTCTCAGAACTTTCTGCATCACTTGGTTTTCCTTCTGGTTCTTCCTCCTCTTCCTGCAGACAAAAATAGTTACTCTAAGGAACCATTAACTGATTTTTTTTAAAAAACTCTTTGCCCAATTAGAGTACGTGACAATCTCTACATATGTCCAATTTGAAGAGAACTAGAATTCTAACATATTAACCAAATACAGCATGCAGAGTAGACTCTAATTACATCCACAGACACACTATGTGATAGATACAACAATAAAGGAGTATATTTAGATATTGATATTAATAACAACTTATTTATATAAATCTTAGTCACACTCATTTGTAGACAGATTGATAATTTTCCATTGTTTTCTTTTCCTTTCTAAGGGCATATAAAAGAAAAGCCTGAATGCTTGTAATTAAAAAACAAAGAACGATAGGTAATCCTAACCTAGAAGGAAAAGGTTGTACCTGCTCTTGTGCTTCTTGCTGTTCTAAAATCTTTAGTTTCTTTTTTCTTTTCTCACTTATTTTAGAAACAAGTGGATTAAGCAGCCTAAATTCTTCACTCTTCTCGTCCACCTGGAAATCTGGGTTCTCAAACATGACTTTGAATCGGTCATCAGTGAGAATGTTAGGCAGATTCTACAAAAGAAGAAAAACCAAGAGTTAGTTACAAAATTTGGAAACAAATGCTGGTACAATGATTTAAAATGTAAAGCTCATTCAATGACTATTCAGGTTTAATTAAGCAAGAAAGGACAACTGGATATAAAATATTGATTGCTTGGTTCTCCCTGACCATTTACATCAAGATCTATTCAATTTATCTATAGTATGGTTTTACTATTTTCATATAAATCACATAAAATCTATTCGGACACAACCGTTAACAAAATATATTCTGCTACTCAAACTATAGGAACCTCAGGTCCAATGTTTTATATTTTAAGGTAAGTGTCTATTAGAGCTGGTAAAAACTCCAAATTTCCAGTTCGTGGGAAATTCTGACTTCTAAATTTTGAAATTTCTTTTTGCTCCGATAATTTCATTTGGGAATTTCAAATATTTATTTTAGAATTTATTTTATGTTTTTTCTTCATTTTTATTATTTTTACATTATGTTATGACAGGTCATTATGCATTACTACTGCTGAGATTACAAAACAGTTGAAATAGTCCATTTTTATTTTTGAAATCATTAACGACAGGAGCTTAGTATTGAAACAGGCTATCTTCTTTTCTAGATCTAAGAGTCCTCTGTTTGTGTCCTAATGAAACAGTTTGACACAAAAAATGTTTCGATGAAACCAATTCTAGTATCAATAATGTGTTGAATATGTGTTGACTTGGACACTCCTCAGCATCTCTTAGCTAGTCAGCCATGTTTACAGGTGGAGAAAACTGCTTGACCAGGATGGTTCCATCACATATGAAACAATATTCCACAGACATGCATTTCCATTCATATTTTATAAAACTGCTTTAGTATCAAATATACTTACGACTTTCCCCTCCCCCAAGAGTTCTATGCATCCTGCATACTTTTTTTTACCCCCCTTCCCCCACCAATCCCAAATATAGCAAGGAAAGAGGCAATTTTATCGGTCTCATTAAAGATCCTAATCCTGCAACACTGGAGCCAATGGTAGTTTTGCCACTGACTTTACTGGACACAGGATCAGGCATAAGGAATTTATAATTTCAACTAGTATTAATATGCTTCATATTAAAGATTTCCTTAAGAGGTTTCTCTTTTAATTAAAAAAAAAATCCCTTTTGTCTGATGCAGCTGCAAAATTACTACCAGGAGGGCTCTCTCTGGTCCAACAATTTGTTTTCACAGCTGCTTAGAAAGGAAAAAACATGAAAGGGGATAGGTTTAAGTTAGAGTAGCTTAGTATCTACAAATGTCTGGCTAATGGTCTAATCTAAAAATAAACGGCAGAACAAACAAAAAATAAATCACCTGTCCTTGGTAAAATCCTTAATACTGTTTCAGGGAAATATTCAGAACCTATATTTTTATATGGTATTTTATTTTTACTTTAATGCACAGTGTATAATATATATCTCCAAAGAAATATACTAAGAAATTGAAAGCTGAGACTTTTTGATAGAGGCTCAGAAAGTTTGCAGTGAAGACTCCACCACCATCACCTACCTCTTCACCCCTTTATCTCTTCCTACCATCCCACTTGTGAGCCGGAAACTCTCACCAGACCAGACACCACATGAACCTTATGTCTGCTCTGCTAACTATACAAATTCCAATGCTCTTCTGTTGTAGGATGGTATAGCTCAGTCACCCTTCTCATCTATATAAAATAAAGGGAGTCTCTACGGCATACCAGGAGGGCGTCAGGGCAGATATTATATGGCCCATGTTGGAAAGAGCCTTCAAAAGGTGTTACTCAGCTCCGCCATTGATTTGCAATATGCTATTTTTCTCTCCTGCCAGATACTAAACATTTGTTTAGACATGCCTGTATCTAAAACAGATAGGGCACTTGGTTTTCAGTATCAATTGTACAAGAGTTACTGTTGCATCAGAGTGAACAGTTTTGACTACTTTATGAAGTGGAATTAAGAGCAAAGTAAAAAATTTACACTGTTGGCTCTTTGGGGCAAGAACTGTCACTTCCTACAATATGGACAATGTCTAGCACATTGTAGGCACTACCATGATATAAATAAATAAATGGGAAGGTTTAGTTTTTGGATACTCTACTGATCAAACAGAGAGTTTTTGGACTCTCCCTCCTACCTCATTTCCACAGCAAGTGCTTTGCCAGTACAAGTTTGTTATACAGTTGGCCAGATGTTATTGCACTGTATTCCTGATTCCCTACCACTGATGAATTCCACTGCAAACCCACCTAATTAGAAGATGCAGTGTATGATCACATGCAAAAGCCTCATCATCCAAAAAGCAAAGGAACACTCACCTTCGAATCTGCCTAACCATTTATAGTAATGTACACACAGAACAATTTATTATCCTGGTGCTTCTGTAGAGTTTTGGACACCTCCTAAATAAAGTCTTACCTTTTGTTTCTTTTTTCTAGTAGGCTGCTGTTCCTCTTCCTCTTCAATCAGCTTGAGTGCCAACTCTTTATTAACCTTTGGAAGTTTCTAATGAAGAAAAGGAAATGTAGAACTCATCAGTATATTCTTTCATGCCCAAGAAATTTTGGCTACGCTACACATTTTACAGTCATGAATTTAGTTCCAAGGACAAAAATAATCTCTACTTTTTTCCTCATTGTGATCACAAAGTTCAACCCAAATTAATGAAAAACTGGGTTTACCCATCCAATACAGTTAAAGGCATTATTATAAAAAATGTTTCACCTAACTAATAGCTTCCGAAGACCTACGCATAGAAACAATCATGGGACTATTCCCTGTCAAGTTAATAAGGAAAGTCAGGGTCCCCAAAGCAGTACCGAGTCTTCTGGCAAATGGCATACCATGCTTTCACATTCTAGTTGACTGCGAAGCCATATCATGGTTTCATCTGCCATAACCACAAGGCAAAAGCAGTGTTAACACAGCACCTAGAATATACAGCTTCTGCATCTTTGTTTCTGATCACTGGTCCAAAGGAATTGGTAGGGTTGTACTGAGATGCTGAAGCATCTTTGGCCTTGGCAGGGATAAGATATCAGGACAGATAGATAAAAAAAAAATAAAGTTTTTTTTTTTTTCTAATTGTATGCTGAGCAGATTTGATCAGGAAAGCCTTGATAAACAAACATGGAAGTCCATGATACCATTTTCAACAGTCACTTTTCAGAGCATTACTGCATTTTAAGGATCCGAGTCATTTGGTAAACCTCCAGTTTTACATGTAGAAGTAGAAAAAAAGTGCAAGCTTTATGCCTGGAGTAGTCTGTGGAAGTTTTGAAGCATAACAAGACTAAAGTGTCCTTTTTCTTCTACTGCTTCATCTCAGTTTCTTTTCATCAAATTGGGTTCCATATACATGTGAATGCCACAGTTCCATATAAAAGAGAGATATAGGTTGAGGCTGCAATTTGATTTCAGGGCTCTGGCAACATCAACAAACTCATGTATGAGGTGAAACACCATAAACTCCCAATTCAATTACAGATCTGTGGTGTAGTTATTTTACATTATTCCATAAGAACAATTTTCTCTAAAAGTTTAATCATCATAAATAGAATTCTACCTTTAGTTGAACTCTTTGTGCACGTGTTTCTTCTATCTTCTGTCTAATTTTCTCTTTTCTATATTCCTCATAGGCAAATGGATTGACCATCATTTTCACCTTTTAAACAAAATAGAAGGCATTAAAGAAAGGAAACAAAATGCAGGAGTAAATATATAAATTAGTAAATATATAGTATACATAATGGCAAAAATGTACCAAAATAAGGATCAGCCTTAATGAATTAACCTTATTTACCTTATGATACAGTCGTATGTCCATGAAAAAGCCATGCATATATGCTCTGAGCAGTGGTGATCCAATGAGATGGGCAAGGCCTGGGGGGAGAGGGAGATGGGGTGGAATAAAAAAACCCAGCATAATGTTATCAGAGGACTTCAAAGGAGAGTAAGATATAGGAAATTATCCCAATTAAGCTGACTGAATACTTGACTAAAGGAAAACAATGGTACTGATTTGAAAGTATTAAACTCACCCATATTTATGTCCATTCTATCGAGACTGTAGCACCACAAACTATTATGTTAAGCTAGCAAAGAATTTGAGCAGCCCCACAACAAAAACAGTCTTTTCTTTTTGCTGTAGTAAATGTTTACTGCGCACTTTTTAAAGATGCCCACTAGCCCACAATCTATGGATAGTTTACCAAGAAGCATTATTTGTGAGGAGAGCGCTTTCTGAAGGTATGTACGCGTTTGATATACACATTTGAATTACAGGTTTTGGTGCGGCATACTGATGTTTTAATTAAGAGTTTTTGCCTTGGGTCACTACCTTTGAAGAATAGGTATGTTGAAAGATATAAATACAGCACCACAGCAGTTCATAAAACTGTCACCCTAGGCCCTAACCTAAATAAAGAATGAAAATCTCCAAATGGGAGAAGATTGTGTATATCTTCAGGCAACTCTGTATAGCTGAGAAAAAGGAGAACTTTTCTTTAAACCAAACATTTCTCGAACTATTGGATCTGTAAGTAATTAATAAATCTTGGCTAAAAGACCATTCCAGAAATAAGAGATTTACACTGAGTTTCTCTCTTATCTCCCAAACTAATTTAATGTTTTTAAAAACAAGACACGAGCATCACCTTCGGGAGAAAAAGTGACTGAGTTAAAAAAACAATGCTATCATTGTAAAACATGGGACTAAATTTTATAAACTTGATTGATACTAGTAGACAACCTTTCATAGAAAAGACTTGAGCTTATATAGATTTATAGCCCCAAAAGAAGCTACATCAATTGACATCTAATAATACAAAACAGTAATACCTGTAAGTTTTAGGTGTAAGATGCCACAATAAACCTAGTTTGTCAATCCTAGGTTAATCTGATTTAGCTTTTGCAGGTTAATAAAAATCCAAAACTGCAGTTTAGTTGCTCAAAAGGGACATTCTGAACCCTCTCCAAGTTCACAGGAGAATGGTCTTTTGGTTAAGACGCCGGACTAGGTCTTAGGCCATGTCTACACTACCACTTATGTTGGCAAAAAAGACGGTTACTCACCGTTGTAACTGTTGTTCTTCGAGATGTGTTGCTCATATCCATTCCATTAGGTGTGTGCGCGCCGCGTGCACGATCGTCGGAAGATTTTTACCCTAGCAACACCGGCGGGTCGGCTGTGGAGCCCCCTAGAGTGGCGCCTTCATGGCGCTGAATATATACCCCAGCCGACCCGGCGCCCCCTCAGTTC